GCGACAGCCATTACGCTAACTGCTGGTTCCCGCAAAAACCTCTTTTTTAAAAAAAGAAAATACTTTTTTCCTAGTTACAGATGTTTCACTAGGGAATAGATCCACAGGCTTTTTTAAAAACTAATTCATTATTTTTTTTTAAGAGAGATTTTTGCTGTAGGCCACGTGTGCTCACCAGAGAGATAGAGAGAAAACAAGAAATCATGCCCTAAGGGAAAGACCATGCCACAATACCCTCTCCTCCATTCCTCCTTTTGGAATTTTGGGCACACATACACATATGCCCTGCATCAGTTTCAAACCACCAGTTCTGGGATTCAAACCACAGCCAGCCATATGTGAATTCAGCACCCCAACCACCACACCACCTGCTGGCTCCCCCAAATTACTTATTTTTAATTGACACATAATTGTGTGTATCTGTGGAGTATAGTGCAATTTTACAGTATATGACTACAATATGTAATGATCAAATCAGGGTAATTAGCTATCCATCATTTGAAACATTTGTTATTACTTTTATAGGGGACATTCAAAATTCTATTTTTAACTATTCTGAATATTCAATAAATTATTGTTCATTATAGCTACATTTCTGTGCTATATAGCAGTAGAACTTGTTTCTCATATCTAACTGTAATTTTATATTGTTAACTAACATTTCTCCATGACACCCACCCCTGCACTCTTCTCCGTAGGACTTATTATGCCACACAGTTTTGGAAGTGGATCCTCCTCCTTTGTATTGGCTTTTTCAGTGAAGTAGAATTGTTTGTTAGTTATGATGGTGCTAGAGGGCTGACTATACTAAGCAGTACTGATGAACTATTTTTAAAATCAGGTTTTTACTATGTCTTAATTGTTAGCCTTTTACAGTATTTTTTTGTTTGCATATTACGTGTGCACTCATCTGAGAGAGAGAGAGAGAGAGAGAGAGAGAGAGAGTGCAAGAGAAAATGAGAAATCACTCCCCAGTGGTATGGTGACACTGCAGCCCCTTCTCCATTTTACTCTATGGATTTTGGGCAGATATGCACAGGCACCTGGCGTGTCTCCCAAGTTGCTGAGTCTGGGACTCAAACCCCATAGTTAGATATATTTGATTCAGCCACCTTAACCACCATGCCACCTGGTTAGACCCCTACGTATTTGTTTTTATGACATATTTTTGCCTTTTACTTTGATTTTTAGGTTTGGCTCGAACATCTTCTCTTGACACTACAACAAATTCAAGCACCATGCTGTCTAACTCAATAGCAAATGCTTCTACCCTGACTGCTGCCACTGGATTCTCATGTAAGTTACTTTTTCAAAAAAACCCTGTTATTTCCCATGAGGCTATTTAACTCAATTTGCCAATATAAACTATGGATATCCTCTATCTAATCAATTATCATTATGCATGAACCTATGTATCACTTGTTATCAGTAACAGCTTTGCTTAAGAGGCCAGTTATCGGGACCAGTGGATGGGGGTGCAGTTACATACCTATAGCTGACTGTGGTTAGAGTCCTAGACCCATTGGCTTCAAAATCACTCCAGACATGTGTGCATGCATGCCCAAGATCTCAGGAAGAGAATGGTGGAGAAGGGATTGTGGTGTAGCCATCCCCCTGAGAGGTGATTTCTCATGTTCTTTCTTTCTCTCTCTCTCTCTCCCTCTCTCTCTCCACCCCCACACACACACACACCGGCAAGTATACGCTCCCTAAGGGAGACAGGGGGGAAAGGCCAATTTGTCATGGACTGTGAATTTTTAGCTGTGAATTTTTTTTAATTTTATTTACTTATTTCTTCCACGAGAGAGGGAGACAGAGAGAGAGAAGTAATAGTATCTTCATTCTGTGATCCTAACCTCAACCTCAGCTAGGACTTCCCTGTATGATCTCACCATCACAGTGCATTGTGTTACAGCTACACTACCATGGCTGGCCAAAGTTTATGTATGTATGTATGCATTTACTTATTTATTAACATTGGTTATTACAGCTTACAATGATAACTTTAAGCATATAATGTGTTAATATTAAGATTTTTTTTTTTTGGAGAGATTTTCACTGTAGGGCGCGTGCGCTCACCAGACAGACAGAGAGAGACATAGAGACAGAAAGCGAGAAATCACCCCCCAGGGGGGATGGTCACGCCGCAATCCCTTCTCCTCCATTCTCCTCTCGGGATCTTGGGCACGCACGCACATGCGCCCGGTGTGAGTTTTAAGCCACCGGGTCCGGGACATGAACCGCGGTTGACTACGTGGGAGTCCAGCGACATAGCCATTACGCTAACTGCTGGTTCCCAATATTAAGATATTTTGAAATAACTTGTAGCTATTAAGAATAGGGAGAGTGGGAGTTTTGCCAAGTACGTCTGCAAAGAAGTCCTTACTATCCATATGATTAAGATAACATGGGAAATAAATACTGGAGCCTTGCTATATTATATTCTTCTATATAAACCAAGTCTGTGGTCCTTACACTTTACCTGTCAGAAGGGGAACGTGACAAAGAACCAGCTATACTTGGGGTTCTAATTGACAGTGTGTGATGTCCCTTGACCTCTCCTCTGGAACAGCTGGATGCTTTGAGCTGAGAAGTGGGACACTAATTATCCTATAACCTTAACTTCTTTGTTACATATATTCTATTGGTAAAGTATTATCAAATGCTGAAAATATCTAATTGTGTATATGTCTTAAGCAATTCTTTCTTATAGATCCTTATAAACTGACTGCTTTTGAGCTATCTTCTTCACAGTGCTCATCATGAAACTTTGTTGTATTATAATTCCAGCTGTAAAATGGTCTCTCCAGAGCTGTGTGGTAGCAAGATTGTTACTGTTCCTGGGAATAAAACTTGCCAGGAAATGCTGATAGTTAATTGTGCATGAATAGCGGTGTAATATCCCCATCCTGTGGTGCAGCTGATGTAGGTAAACGTTAGTTAAAATTTGTGGTACCACATGAGTATTTTCTACCCAGTAGACATGACTATGATTCTGAAATCCTTTTCTTGTATGGCAGGAATATCCTCAGCTACAGCAGATTTAACAAATATGACCGCATCTGAGGTTTGGAGTTAAAATTATTGAATTAATTCCATGTTCAATCAACAACTTGCCCTCTGATCTTTGACAGGTTTTTTTATTACCCTTCCTGTACCTGGTGTTTTTGTCTTTGAAATGATAGGAAATCTGGACCACGATGTCTTTTAATTAATTTTAATAAGTTATACCTTATATTTCATAAAGTTAGCTTGTTTTAAGTCAGTGATTTTTAGGTAACTAACCAAATTGTATAACCTCACTACATCTAATTTTAGAATATTTCCATCCTCCTAATAAGATCCTTCAGCCTCAGATAATGATGAATCTATCTTCTGTTTGCTTAGATTTGCTTTTTCCTGGACATCTCATATAAATGGGACCATGATTTTCTGAAGTTTAACCCAAAATTGCTAAAGGACTTTTCAGATGAAAAAAATTCTCTATGTAAATTCCTCACAATTTTTATTTAAAAAGGTAACAGTTAATATTATGTTGTTCTCTGCAGTTGGTGTCCCAACGACTTCGGCTAGAACCTTTGATAATGTAACTTTGGGATTTGGACTAGAATTCCCTGGAGTGGGTGGAGCAGCTTCTACTCCATCTAGTAAGATTTTTAAATTATTGGACTGTGTTGTTATACTCACTTGAAATGTACTATATAACAAGAAGTAAATAGGTCATACATACTTTTATAGCCTCTGGGCTATCTACATGGGTTTTGGCTATCTCATCAGAGTATCCAAAAAGTACACCAATGTAGATGATTATCAAAGTATAGATTGAGACAATTGATGTTAATGACATTATTTCTTTAAGGTGACTACAGTTAAAACTGCTATCAAACACTTGTCAGCCTATAAAGTTAAGAATTTTTGTTATTGATCATACTGTTTAACTGATGTAATGTTTTAAGGTTGATATATATTTTTTCTCTAAAAGTCAAATTTTAAGTTTTGACTCCTAAAATTGATTATAGAAGTTTCCCCATGTCTAACCTAAATTTGTTTCTGCCATATAGGAGGGAGCAGTTGTAGGCAGAAGAAAACTTGATTACCTACTACCTAAAGCTATTAAGAGCTGGGTGGTTGGGGATCATATGCTACTTAAACTTACCATCTGCCATTTTAGGGAAGTCTTGTTTTTATTTACTTTAAAAAGCTTACTTGGAGGGTGAAATGAATCTTTCTCCAAACCTGGCATAAACTAAAATTCAGTCCATTTGAAACTTAGAATAATTCTTTTTAAACAGGGATGTATACCACCTCTTTATGTCCTCCTTCTGTGACCAGCACTTACTGAGTTTCTGCTGTGTATTATTAGGCTAACTGGTTAATCTATGAGAGTTGTGATAGGTATGCCATGAGCACTTTACAAGTTATCACATTTCTAAAACCGTAACTATAATTTTCATAAAATACTGGAAAAAAGAATTGCTTCTTTCAGTCATGGATCACATGCTCTTTGGTGACTGTCATAACCTTCCCTATCTAAGTCTCAAATTCCTTCCTCGAACTAGTACCCTTGCCACAACCTCATCCCTTAGCATCCTTCTCTTAACCATCAACTTATGTATTTGTCTTCCTCTTCATCAGGATGTTTCAATCTGACACCCCAACCCAGAGTTGTATTTTCCCCCAATTGCCTTTTCTTCTCCCCAAGTGTATTTTCTTGCTTAGATATATCACTGCACAAACTAGCCTTGCAGAGCAGCTTTCAAGTGTCTGTATCAGTAGATTTGTAAACTTTTGGGATTATTCTCTGCCTTAGGTAAAATCAGCAAGTTTAATGAGAAACTTAATTTTCATCAGTCTTATTTTTTTCCTATGATTCTAAGAAGGTACTGATGTGCATTCCCAGCATGAAGTAAGACAGAGAGTTGTTGATCAGGGATGGAATAGGAAAATTCGATAATAGATTATGTTTTTTTAAAGGATTATTTTATTTAACTTTATTTGTTTGTTTGCTTATTTTAATTTCATGAGAGAGAGAAAGAAAAGTGAAAAAGCAAGCCACCGGGCCCAGGACTCAAACCATGGTCGGCCATGTGGGAGTCCAGTGGCCCTAACATCCTTGCCACCTACCAGCCCCAATAGTTTCTTTTAAAGGATATTTCCACCATTTTATAGAATGATTTTTAAGATGACCAGAATAAGATTATTTAAATGTAAATCCAAATTAGGTATGCAGTTATTTTATATTGTTTATAGAACTGAGCTTCTCTCTTCTACCATTGGGTCATCAGAAAAGTCATGACATATTTTTCTATGCAAAAATGCATCATGAATTTTCTCGTTAAGTACCTTCACTGCTTTTATGTCCTCCAATTTTTCGCTCTCTGCCATAGAGTGCAGATAGTTGGTATATATTGAGTGGATACATACAATATCTTTCTTTCATAGCCTGGCTTACTTCACTCAGCAATAGATCCAACCGCTCAATACATACATAATATAGAATTGACTATATTAAGTGGTTTAGACTGACATTTTCATTTGTAAAATGAGAGTATAATAGAACTTTTACTCTCAGATCCATAACTTCATTTGGTATTAAATGAAATATTAGTATTTGGGGCCAGCCCATAGCATGGAGGTTGGGGTGGCTGTATCTCACATGGCCAACCATGTGGTTCAAGTTTCTGTAACCAGCAATTTGAGAATCACACCAGGAGCATGTGCATGCATGCCCAAAATCACAAAAGGAGGGATAAATGGAGGAGATGGATTACAGTGTGACCATTCTCCATGTGAAGTGCTTTCTAATTTTCCCTCTTTATGTTTCTCTCTGGCAAGTACACATGCCCTTTGACAAAATTTTTTAAAAAAGGAATACTGTTATTTGAATGTGCTAAACTGATTCATGCCTTTAAAAATAGCATAAAAAGCAAAGAATTAAATGTTGCATAAAAAGGTTAAAATTAAAATAAATAAATAAATAATAAAATAAATAATAAAAAGGTTAGATTAAAATAAATGCTGCATTAAAAAGGTTAAAATGATCATACTTCTGAAATTCCTTTATTCCTTAATGCTGACAGGCATTAAGAAATCATTCAACATCTTTGAGGAAGTGTTTTGTTGTATGTTTGACTGTTTATCTTTTCAGTCTTTTTGCTAAGCATATACAAGCATGCATCAAATTAATTTTTTCTACAAAAATTAGTTTCTACTGTATGTTTGTAAATACCTACTCACACATTTACACACACAGTCCTAGAATTTGCTGTTTCCTCTTAAGTATACATCTTTGGACATCTGTTCATATCAGGACATACAGATTTCTTTATTAGAAGATCAGCTTTCTGTAAAGATATGCTCTTTGTACGAAGGACTCTTTTTTTAAAAAAGAATTTTCTTTCTTTTTTGATTGTAATATTTAAGTGTTTTGTAAGTGAAATAAAGGAGGTCTATTGATCGTATCAATTTTTAGCATTTCAGTTGAAGGATTTTCTTTTAGATAAGATTTCTTTCCTTAGATAGAGAAAATGATGACATATGGACATAAAGAATGCCACATATTGGGTTGTCGGAAAAGTCATGATGCATTTTGAATAGAAAAACATGGAAAAAAATGTGTCATGACTTTTCTGACAACCTAGTAGCATTCAATCTGTCATTCTAACTGATAGACCCCAAGGGTACTGTGTGATTAGGCATGATCTTTCTCGTAGTGATGATTTTACCCTCCCAAAGGCTAACATAAAGAATGGGTAATTATTGTAAGTATCCTATGGCCAAAAGGGAAATGGAATCTTATGGAAATCTAATACAGATTTTGTTCTAGTGCTGTTGCCTCAAGGAAACTGGAACTTATGAATGGTTCTTAAGGCAGTTTTAGAGACCTCCTAAATCAAATATCACATTAACGGTTCACTGATTATTCTTTTGTTTTCTTCATCTAAAACTTCCCTTTGGTTTTCTTAGCTCTTTTTCTGTCATCTTGTCTTGCCTTATTCTCAGTTTTTACTTACTCAAAACCCCTTATTTCTACCTTTTTTCCTTTTTCCCTCAGTCCTTTCAATTCCCTCTGACTAGCATTCAATTCTTTCCATACTTTTGGAAATATTTCCCAATTTCTGCTTAGAGTCTGATTCTTTCCATATTGCTATATTTTTAAAAATGAGATTCTGACCCTATTTAGCTAGATTCTTTTCCCCATTGAGCTAGAGCTTTTTGTGCCAGACCCTCACATAACCTGCTAGTATCAGGTAGAATTGCTTCCCATACTTTAGATGCCCAGCCCTGGTCCAGGCAACTGTGAACCAGGAGCAAAGGACAGAGTTACCTGGAATAAAGAACAGGTGCCTGAGCCTGTTCTCTCAGGGCGGAATGTGGTAGGCCAGTCTCCCTCAGAATAGTCAGTGAATGTGGCAGACACTGTAATTAAAAATATTTACATAGCTGTAAGCTATTAACCTGAAAATATTGCTAATTAAGAAAGCAAGACTAAGATAAAACGAATAATTGTACAGATGGTATAAACAAATTCTTGTTACAGACACAGCATTTATTAATTGTGAGAACATTTGAAAACACGGAGAACCAAGATGAAGAAAATAAAATATACTTGGGCCCTACAGCCACAGTTTTCCATACATTGTTTTTTAAGTGCTCTGTATATAGTAATAATCAAGCGTGCTATAAAGGTTCAGAAAACCAAAAGAAAGCAGTAAGTAGGAGAGAAGTAGGTGGTTCACAGGGAAAATAAAGAATTGGTGCTATACCTTGAAGTATACCTTTCATCTATAGAGGGCAAGGCATTCTAACAGAAGTGCAACAGAGAGATATAGGCTATAGGAAAAAATTTTAGAGGCAAAGTTTGCTTATTAGGTTGGCAAAAATGTACGCCTAACATTTATACATATGTTGAAATAGCACACCACACTCCATAAATATGGACAATTATTAGCTAACAATTTTACGTAACAGTAAACATTATGTTGTATTCCACTATATGAAAATATAACAATTTAAATATCCAGAACAATATGTATGCCTACTATTGGTTATGATGTAAAGAAACAGACAACCTTCTTTTATTCAGAGGAATGTAGATTGGCAAAATTATTTACGTTAGGGCAATTTGGCAAGATATATTAAAAATTTAGAGTATGCTGACCTCTTTGATCTAACAGTTTGTTCTTCTTCTTTTTTTTAAGAGAGATTTTGCTACAAGATATGTGCACTAGACAAGCACAGAGAGTGAAAGAGAGAGAAAAAGTGGGAAATCACTCCCCAGAGGGGACGGCCATTCTGCAGTCCCTTTCCCTCCATTCTCCTCTTGGGATTTGGAGCGTGCACATACATACACCTGGCATGAGTTTCAAGCTGCCAGGTCTGGGACTCGAACCATGGTCAGCCATGTGGGAGTCCAGCACCTCAACCACTATGCCACCTGCTGATCCTGATCTAGCAGTTTTATTTCCAGAAAGTAATTACACAGATATGGTCATATAAGTATATAAAGATACAGACATTTTGTATAAATTAAAACTGTTTTTCCTTGAAAGTTTTGTACAATTTACCAGCCAGGTTATCTGTGCCTGAGCTTTTTCTTTAATGTGTGTAGGAAATTATCAGTTTTATTTCCACACAAGTTTATCTAGGATTTTTATTTTTTTGAGTTTTTTTGCTATAGGATGTGTGTGCTCTCCAGAGAGACAGAAAACAAGAAATCACGCCTTAGGAGAGTTGACCATGCCACAATCCCTTCTCCTCCACTCTCCTCCCAGGACCCTGGACATGCACGCACATGTGCCTGTGCCTGGCCCGAGTCCCAAGCCACCAGGTCTGAGACACAAACTGTACTCAACCACATTGAAGTCCAGCATTCTAACCACTATGCAATCCTAAAAAAATCCCAGTGGATTCCTCCTTTTCTGGGATTTTTTTAGTTTTCAGCAAGAAGATTAATCCAGATACTTGTCTTGCTGTTATTACTTCATATTCCAACTGAGTTGAGTATAAATTCACATTTTAAAATGTGCCTGTATAGTCTTAAATGAAAACTTAAATGATCAAAGCTTAAATGAAATAAGTTTATCATTTCTTACTGATATTATTCATTTTATTTTATAGCTACTACTTCGACGACTACCACCACCACTGTCACCACCAACACCACTACTACCATCAGCAGTGACTTTACCCTGAATCTGGAATCGCTGACATCAACTGGGATTAATAGCACCTTTCCAGGCAGAGTTATTTCTGTACCTTTTACTTCGACTGTTAAGTAAGCCTATTTATTTGAAAATTGGCATGTTTAGTTTTATTTATCATATAAAAGGCATAATTTACTTATAATAGTTTTTAGAATAGTATTAGAAAGTTAGATAAATGACTCAGTTGAGGGATTAACTCGCTAGAGAAACATATCTGTAGCTTAGGAAATGAAACAACCAACACACCTTTGCCTTCTAAATACAAATATATTACTGTCATTACTGACAATAGCTGCTATTTGTTATACAATTACAGTATGTTAGCAAGCTGACAATTGTTTCCAAACATTATATCATTTAATTCTCACAATAACCTTCTGAGGTGGCACTATTTCTTTTCTTTTCTTTCTTTCTTTTTTTTTTGGAGAGGTTTTTGCTATAGGGCATGTGCGCTCGCCAGACAGACAGAGAGAGACATAGAGACAGAAAGCGAGAAATCACCCCCCCAGGGGGGATGGCCACGCCGCAATCCCTTCTCCTCCATTCTCCTCTCGGGATCTTGGGCACGCATGCACACACGCCCGGCGTGAGTTTTAAGCCCCCGGGTCCAGGATGTGAACCGCGGTCGACTACATGGTAGTCCAGTGACATAGCCATTATGCTAACTGCTGGTCCCCTGAGGTGGCACTATTTCTATTCTCATGATGATGAGAAAACTGGAGCACATAGAGCCTGTGTCACACACTTGCTAATGGTTAAGACAGTATTAAAATTCAGGCCAACTGTGGTGGCACAGTGGTAATGCAGTGTTCCACAATGGTGAAACCAGGAGGGGAAGGTCCCAGGTTTGTCTTCCATGGTCTCCTTGTACACACCAGGAACACACAAGTACCTTTGTGGTCCTGGTTGACTAGGACTGCAGGTGGATCACTATGTGATCCACTATAATGGATCACATAATATGCTCCTCTCTAATATTTGCTCTTTTTCTTCTAGGTTTTTGCCACGAGGCACATACATTCACCAGAGAAAGTCAGAGAAAGGGAAAGTGAAAAATCACTCCCCAGTAAGGATGGCTATGCCACAATCCATTCTCCTCCATTTTCCTCTCATGATTTTGGACATGGAGGCACATGCTCCCATCATGATTTTCAGTTCAGGATTCAAGCCATCGTTGGCCATGCGGGAGTCCAGAACCTTAACCACCATACTACCTGCTGACCTCATTTGTTCTTTTTTTTTTTTAAATTAGATTTTTTATTTTGTGATTATAGATTTTTTTTGTTAATTATAGATTCACATGTGCTCATAAGAAATAATACAAAACATCCTGTATGTCTTTATTTCATTTTCCCCAGTGATAACATCTTGCTGTACTATAGTACAGTATCACACCAGGATATTGATATTGATATAGTCAAGATACAGAATGCTTCATAATGCTAAGACCATATGGGTTTGTGTCCTGCAGCCTCTCATTGCATACCAGGTGTGCATGTGCATGCCCATTATCCTGACTGGTTGAGGCTTGGAGAGGGTCACATGTGAGAACCTTGTAGGGGATGCCTCTCTCTCTCTCGCTTTCTCTCTTTCTCAATCGATCTCTCTCTCTCAGAAGAAATAAATTTTTAAAAATGATACAGGATAGTTGTATCACTACAAAGATTTATCTTCTTACTATCTTATATTCAGACCCACTATCTGAATGTCTAAATATTTCATCTACTTTCCATCCTTTCCCTGACGCTGGGCAAAATTTCTGTTCTCCATTTCTGTAATCTTGACATTTCAAGAAAGTTTTATGTATAGAATCATGTGTATGTGACCTTTGGGATTGGCTTTTTCCTTCAGCATAATTCTTTGGGATCCACCTGGTTTATTATATGCCTCACTGGTTTGTTCATTTTTATTTCTCAGCAATATTGTAGATATACTATGGTTCATTTAACCATTCACCTGTTGATGGACTTCTAAGATATTTCCAGATTTTGTTTTTTGCTATTACAAATAAAGCTAGTATGAACATTTGTATATAGTTTTTTTGTGTGAATATGAATCTCACATGTCTGGTATAAGTTCTTAGGAGTACAGTTGTTGGGTGTATGGAAGTTACATGTTGAGTTTTTTAAGAAACTGCCAAGTTCATTTACAGAGTTACAGTGCCATTTTACATGTCCCCCAGCAATATATGAAGGACATAGTTTGTCTGCATTCTTGCCAGGATTCGATGTTGTCACTATTTTTTAATTTAGCCTTTCTGATGTGACGTGATATCACTTTGTGATTTTCTTTTCCATTTTTTTCTGGTTATTAATGCTGTCAAACATCTCATGTGTTCATTTGCCATCAATATATACTGTTTGGTGAATTGTCTGTTCATATCTTTTGTCTAGTTTCCATTTAGATTATTTGGGGATTTTACTTTTTTTAAAAGAAATACTCATTTAATTTTATTTATTATTATTATTTATTTATTTAATTTGCTATAGGGCACATGTGCTCACTGGAAAGAGAGAGAGAGATAGTAAGAGAGAGAGAGAGAGAGAGAGAGAGAAAGCTGCCAGGCCTGGGACTCAAATCATGATCGGCCATGTGAGAGTTCAGCACCTTAACCAGCGTGCTACCTACTGACCCCAGGAGATTTTACTTTTCAGGATTTGTTATAGTCTAGTTACCAGTCATTTGTCAGATATGTGGTTTATAAATATATTCTCTAACTCTGTAACTTGTCTTTTCATCCTCTTAACAGAATCTTTTTGCTGAACAAAAACTTTTTTAACAAAAATTTTAAATTGATGAAGTGTAATTTATCTGTTTTTCTTTTAATAGATCATTCTTACAGGTCAGTTATAAGAGTTTGTTGTCTAGCCCTAGATCCCAAAGATTATCTTCTGGTTTTTCATTTTTCCCTAAAAGTTTTACATTTTGCAGTATTGCTCATTATCTGTTTTGAGTTGATTTTTATGAGGTTTGAGGTTAGTTTATTTTTCTCTATGATTGCCCAATTTTTCCAACATCATTTGTTGAAAGGCCATCTTTCTCCACTGGATTTTTGCTCTTTTGTCAAAAAGCAATTGGAGGGAACCAGCAGTTAGCATAATGGCTATGTTGCTGGACTCACACATAGTCGGCTGAGGTTTGTGTCCCGGACCCAGTGGCTTAAAACTCACACTGGGCGCATGTGCGTGCGTGCCCAAGATCCCGAGAAGAGAACGGAGAAGAAGGGATTGCGACGTGGCCATCCCCCCTGGGGGGTGATTTCTCGCTTTCTGTCTCTCTGTCTCTCTCTGTCTGTCTGGCGAGCGCTCTATACCAAAACCTCTAAAAAAAAAAAAGATCTATTGGACATAATTGTGTCAAGTATTTTTTGGTCTCAATTGATATGAACTTATAAGATTTTTTTTATATCTCAATTACATATTTCAGATATCTGATCAGGACTGTATAAATGAAATAAACCTATAATTTTTATATATTTTAAAATTTGTTTTATTATATTTTGTTTGAGGATGTTTTATCCAAGCTCATGAGAGATACTGGTTTGCAGGGGTTTTTTTGTTATTGTTTTGTCTCTGATTTCTTTTTATTATTATTTATACATTAAGCCACTATACATCATCTTGATTGTGAAGAGACACAACTTGTGAAATGATCTGGGAAGTATTCTCTTCTGTTTCTAGAAAAATTATGTAAAATTAATGTTAATTTATTAATCTTTGTCAGAATTCTCCAGTGAAACCTCTGAGCTTTCCTATTTATATTATAGGAGCTTTTAAATTATGATTCAAATTCTTTAATGGTGCTAGAACTATTCAAATTAAATATTCTATTTTTGATGAGTTTTTGTAGTGTGTGCTTTTCAAGGAATTAGTCCATTTTTTTCTGTCAAATTTATAAACATGAAGATGTTCATATGAATTGTTTTCCCTTATTATCCCTTCAATAACTTCAGACATATTCTTGTTTGATATTGGTGGCTTGTGTCTTTTATCTTTAATTAATTAATTAATTAATTAATTATTTTTTCTAGAGGGCATGTACTCTTCTAGACATGCAGAAAGAGGCTGAGAGACAGAAGGAAAGTGAGAAAGTATCCCCCATGGGATGCTTCAGTCCCTTCCCTTTCATTTCTTCTTCCTTTACAGATTTTGGGCTTAAGTGCATGCATGCCCGGTATGTTTCTCAAGTTCCAGATCTGGTACTCAAACTGCATGGTCAGCCACGTGGGATCTGGCTGCCCAACTACCAGCCATGGACCTGGCCCATCTTCTGTCAGTTTTACAACCTTTTCCCAAATACTCAGCTTCGTTTTATTGATACTCTCAGTTTTCTTGTTTCCAATTTAATTCTTATGCTTTTTGTCCTTCTGGTTGTATTGGGTTCATTTTACTTTTTTCTACTTTATCGAGGTATTAAGAACTATTGATTCAATACCTTTCTTCCTTTCTTTTATTATCCGGTTGACAGAGGGTGTGTGCTCCCCAGAGACAGTGAGAAAGTACCACTGTAAGGGGAATTGTTACACCACAATCTCATCTCCATTTCTTCTTCCTTTGGGATTTTTGGCATGCACACATATGTGCCCAGTGTGTTTTCAAGCCACCGTGTCTGGGACTCAAACTGTGTGGTCCACCATGTGAAAGCCAGCCTCCTTAACCACCATGCCACAGACTGGCCCAAGACTCTTTCTTTTCTAATGTAAGCATTAGTGCTATAAATATGCCTTTCAGGATTGCTTTAGCTGTGTCCTACATACTCTGATGACTGAAACAAAAATTATAACCCCACATGATATGATTTAAGAAATTCATGAGAAGTAGAATATTATATTTGCCCTTCTTCTTACCCATTTTGAAGTTTTTTCTTTCCTTTTTGTGATGTTCCAAGCCTTGTGTTTTCATTTCCTTTCTCTTTTTTTTTTTTTAAAGGGGTTTTTCTTTAAGGCGGCTGCAATCCGATAAAGCATATGCGTTTGCCAGAGAGACAGAAAGTAAGAAATCACCACCAGGGGGATGGCCACGCCGCAATCCCTTCTCCTCCATTCTCCTCTCGGGATCTTGGGCACACACGT